TAGCGACGCTCCAGCCACACCGCCAAGGCCCCGAGCGTAGGGGACGGGGCCCTGCTCTAACTTCAGCCAGGCCGGTGCTAAGCCCCGGGGGCATGTGCTGATTGGGCTGACGAGGCTGCTCGGGGTTTAGCTTAAACCTCTTCCCCGTTGACTGAAGGGAGCCCCAGAAACCTGCTCTCTGCCTGGAACAGGGACGCCACAGGGATCGCACCGGCTGCCTGGGCATCTGGACTGACGAACAGCGGTGTCCCCTCAGCTCTCTAGCCTGGGCGGCTTTCACACTCCTGGCCTGCTCACACCCAGCCACCAGCGTGTGAGTTACTCCCAGTTATGGTGTCCACAGCCTCAGCCAGCCACTCGTACAGTACTACCCCCGATACTGGAATTACCTCGCAGCCCGTGTCCCCTGTACCTCAGAGTTATCCTTTATCGATCTAGCTTCCGATACAAGAGTGATACGTGCAAACAAATAGGATGACGACACTCAGTAGATTATAAGCTTTGTAATGATACCTCACAAGAAACCTTTGGCCTAAAACATATTCCACTTACAACACATTCACACTCATTAGCATATTTTCATAACACATATGGAGTGCCACATCGCACCCTCCTCCTGAACGTACAACCAGAGACTTGGCCACAGTCCATGTAAAATTCCGGTTTGTCTCTGGTTACACCCCCTCTTCCAGTACCTTTAAAGCCTATGATGTCATTCATCGGTGTCCTAGCAAGGTTCGAGGTTCCTGGTCCCCGGGTGCCTGAAAACAGGTTGGGGTGTAGTATTGCTAATGGAATGCAGATAGCAATATCTGTCAAAGTGTAGATGTCTTGGCATTTAGCCACCAATGCCATGAGGTGGCGTGCCTCAGTTTCCCCTTCCACACAGCAGCGTAGACCTGTTCTGCTTTTGCTGCTGTGCCAAGCCTCCACCAGCCTGTTTACAGGTATAAGCTGAAAAGCAACATGCTTGTGGGACTGTCTTATCACCACCCCTAGCATGAGGTATGTCCCACATCTTCAAAGGGTTTCCCATTAGTATTAACACCTTTGTCTTGACACAGAGGTGGAGTAGCAAAGGACACGAGATTAACAGCCAATCTATGACGGACAGACTCTGTTCACACAGTTTGGTTTGTTCAGTGTCTATTGCATTTTTCAATTCCTTTGTGTACCACGGTAGTGTTCAGGTACAGATACTCCTGTCTCTTTGGAGAAGGCTCTCTAGTTAGGTATGTGTTTGGGGGTTTGGCAAGGAAAGGGTGCACTGCAGCCATTCCTGCCCTCGGCCCCTCCCTCGGGAATCTCTTTGTGTTGGGCCCCACCCGCTTGTGAAGCTTCCCAAATGCAATGTTTTCCCTCCCCATGCCTTGAAAAGACAGTGTGATCTCTTACAAGCGTAAAAGGAACAACATCTTTCAATGGGGAGCTTTGGATTGTTAGGTCCCCTCGGTCACCCCACTTTGTTCCCAACAGGTCAGCTGGGTGGACTCTCCCCTCCAGGAGATCTGACCCCCAGTGTTCCCTTAAAACCTGATCCAGAGGTGAGGGGTCTGGCATTTCAGATGCAGATCCTTCACCCTTCTCCAGGCCTTCCTACAAAAGGTGGGCAGACCCTCCTGTCCCCCCTCACCTTCCGTCTGGGCTCCCCTCTCTGGGTCAGACACTCCTGTCCCCCCTCACCTTCCGTCTGGGCTCCCCTCTCTGGGTCAGACACTCCTGTCCCCTCTTACCTTCCGTCTGGGCTTCCCTCTCTGGGTCAGACACTCCTGTGTCCCCCAAAAGGGAAGGTGACCCTGATCCAGCTATGGGCTCACAGCTACCAGCTATGACAGACCCGTCACTGGACAGCAAAATCCTCCCCCCTCCCCCACTCAGGTTGGGCTTGCTTCCAGCTATAGAGACCTTGGGGTCTGTTCCCACCGCAGCAGTCACCAGGACCCCAACTTCCATCTCCAGGATACATGTCTCTGTGCCCCTCTTCCACCCCATAACAGCCAGTTCGTGCTTCTGGGTCTCTATTTGTGCTTCTCTCTGGGCCTCAGTTTCTTTCTTTTAAGTGCAGGGCTTGCTGGCTCTCGCTTTCCTTCTTAGCAATGTGCAACCTGTGCAGTTCTAGCTTCTTCTGAGCTTCACTCTCACCCATTTTGCCAATTTTCTGCCTCTATTTCCCTTACCTGAAATAAGCAAACAGAAAATAACAAACCAGTAACTACTTGGTCTGTTCTCCGGCCACCACACTTAAAACTCACTTAAAATCACCACCAGTGTCTCAAAGCAATCAGCTGTGCACTGACCCTGCTTGGCTACGCCACTGTGACGGGTTTGGTCACAAAGATCCCCTTGGGACTGTCACCTGACGTGCTGGAATTATCTCTGAGCCCGTTTTCCCTACCAGCTTGGGACTCCAGAACCCTGCCTTGTTGAGCCAGACACGCCAGCCTGCTGCAACCCAGACCCAGGTCTGGTTCACACCCCCAAAGTTGCAGACTTTAACCAAAAACTGCTCAGCAGATCACCTATCTCCAGCACCCAGACACCCAGTTCCCAATGGAATGCAAACTCCAAATAAATCCGTTTTACTCTGTATAAAGCTTATACAGGATAAACTCATAAATTGTCCACCCTCTATAACACTGACAGAGAGATGTGCACAGCTGTTTGCTCCCGCAGGTATTAATCACTTACTTTGGGTTTACTAATAAACAAACGTGATTTTATTAAGTATAAAAAGTAGGATTTAAGTGGTTTCAAGTAATAACAGACAGAACAAAGTAACTCACCAAGCAAACTAAAGCAAAAACATGCAAGTCTAAGCCTAATATGTTAAGAAACTGATTACAGGTAATATCTCACCCTCAGAGATGTTCCAATAAGCTTCTTTCACAGACTAGACTCCTTCCTAGTCTGGGCCCAATCCTGTCCCCTGGTACAATCCTTGTTAGTTCCAGCTCAGGTGGTAGCTAGGGGATTTCTCATGACTGCAGCCCCCTTTGTTCTGTTCCACCCCCTTATATAGCTTTGGCCCAAGGTGGGAATCTTTTGTCTCTCTGGGTCCCCACCCCTCCTTCTAAATGGGAAAGTACCAGATTTTAGATGGATTTCAGCATCATGTGACATGATCACATGTCCTGTGAGACCCCCAACCTCCATTCTTTCTGGGCTGGCCTACATGAACACAGGAAGGTTTGCAAGTAAACAGAGCCATTTACAACCAACTGTTCTAGTCACTGGGAGCCATCAAGATTCCAAACCACCATTAATGGCCCACACTTTGCATAATTACAAAAGTACCTCAGAGTTATAGTTTATATTCCTAGTTTCAGATACACAAGTGATACATTC